ACTCCCCTCCCCCAAATCCTAAATAGCTACTTCTTCATTATCAGGAGATACATTCTAGAGATCTCCTTGAATGGACACATTTGAGCATTTAATCAGCTGCCATTTTCTCTTTTTATTTTCCTGATTATTGAGGAAGATTGAAATTGGTACTAAAACCTTCCAATCTCTCTTTTCTCAATAAGGGCAGGAGCCGATAACAAAATAACCATGAACCTACAAGTCAGAAGCGTGTCCTGTGTAATCGTTTGCAATTTATGGTTTAGTTCATCTTATGTGGGGCACTGAGAGCAATAAATGAAATAAAATAATGAGGATTTTTTTCTTCCATGATTCCCAAGGTGATTCCTAGCACTCTCGAAAGCAGAAGTGATTAATCAAGTCAGCGGGGACAAGCAGCAGTAATGTGATTGTCAAAACTATAGATATCCGATAAACTGTGTTTCACTCTCATGTAAGGTGTTTGTGTATGTTTGTTTGTGTGTGTGTGTGTGTGTGTGTGTGTGTGTGTGTTGGGAGCTAGTCAGTGGGAGAATCAACATCTTCAACATTGTCTCTGAGGGAAGATTAGCAGGAATTATTCATTTAAAAGATTCTTACATTTTATAAAAACCCAGAAGCTAAGAAAAATGTCGAGAAACTCATACTCTAGTCTTAAATTTCAAAATCAAAGGTCCTTAACTCAGGGTGTCCACAGATTGTATTTCAGGCCATCTATAAGTCTTCTGAAATTATATGCAAAATTTGGTGTGATTTTACATTTCTTTGCAGAGAGGGTGGGCTGGTTTCTAAAAATTCTTAGAGTGATCCTTGACCCTCAAAAAGGTGAACTCCCTTCATTAAATAAAAGAGGACAGAGGAAGAGAGAAGGAAAGAGAGAGAGGAAAGAAGGGAAATAAAGAGAATTCAGGAGTCTCATCAATTCTGTCCCAAACCAAATCAATCAAATGTATGTGAAATTCGTACAAGGCACTTATCTATTAACCTTTGTATTTGTATGAAAAGTTAGCAATAGTATGATCATCTTTCTTTCAAAAGCCTCTGAGGTTTTGATTGAATTTTGGAGCCCATGGTATTAGCAAAAATGTAGATGTTTATTCAATTCATGGAAACTATTTAGTAGAAAGTATGTCCAAAAAGTTCTTTCATATAAATTCTGATTGTTTATGCTAAAGCCTTCAGAAGTGCCTTTAAATGGCTACACCATTTGCAGCCAATAATTTTGTATTAAAAGGAGATATAAAAAAGACAAAATTTATACAAAGACAAATTTCTATATTTTTCAGAATATTATTGTTTCAGCATGTAAAAAACCAATTATGTGGGATTCCTATTCTCACTTAAGAAAGCTTTCAAGTGAAACCTAATTTTTCTTATCATGTTCCCCAAGCTCCTGCAAAGGCTTTAGAATTTTCACTAATGTTCCTACATAATTAATTAGCACATATTTTTCTGCACATAGAGGAGTAAACACTGAGAATCCTCTATCCCTTTTCTATGTTACAAAAGGATGAATTAACCTCCCTCCATTTCTAATCTTTTTTCTTTTTCATTCTTAATCCTAAAGAGGCATATACATATTGGATTTAGCTGCCTTGTAAAATAGGCAGTCAGTCATCCTTTCTTTAAGATTGCTCTCAAATTTTAAGTCAGCTTCAACTAGATATGTAAATAAGCAAACTCTTCAGTCAAAACATTTTTTAGTTGACAACCTGCAAAGGCAGATTGTGACATCATATAAAAATTAAGCAAGAAGATGACTATTTTACAAATTGTTATAACTTTGAATAAATAGTAATTTCTTTAAATGACTTTCTTAAATAAAAATTAGCATATTTTGAACCTACATTAGTAAAGATTTATGAGATTTCTTCTCTTATGAAAATATTTGCCCTCTCAATGCCTCTCAAAGCATATAAAAGCACTACTTACCCCATGTTGCTTGCTGTGGTTATATCATCATCAGATCAAGGCGTATCTGGATTCTGAATTAACTTAAAGGTTATAAAAAGAAGCAGTAGAGGTTTGACTTCCCCGGAAACGAGACTGTCATATGCTAACTAGGCTTTTAAATGAGGAAAACTAGTGTCTCTTCTAATTATATAAGCTCCAGGTCAAATTCTAGCATCAACTAATCAAATAACTGAACTGCTTTTAGTTTCAAGGAGTAAAAGAAAGAAAACTGTTTAAGATGAATGATTTTAGTATCTTTGAAAACTGGGGACTTGAGCATTGAAAGTTATTCTTATACCATTAAAAGTTAAATATTTTTAAAAGCAAAGTATATATCTTGCTACCTTAAATAATTTGAAGAAAAGTATTAGGGAAAATTTAGTTTGCAGTAAAACAGATATTTTTCTGTATTTTCCAGAAGTTTTGAATTTGCATTGTATGTCCTGGTCTCTGAAAATATCCTCTCAGCTTATCTTAACTTGTCCAGTATTCATCTGCTTACAAATTTCAATAAACAAAAATATTTAACTCTAAAATCATACCAAGTTAACGCTAAGCAACATATCCAAAATTGTCTAATTTTTTAAATGTACCTTTTGAATACTTATAAATAGGGTCTTTTAAATTAAATACAAAGTTATTGTGATTTCTATAAAAATGCCATTTAATTTCAACATTTTAAAAGACATTTCAACCCAAATTTATAATAGTGCAACTAAAAATAAAAAAGAATTTGGCAATGATTTTTTGAGGAAATACAAATTTTCACAAGAAGTTGAGGAAAGAAGTATATTATAGCAGTTATCTGTTCCATACACCATTTTGGAGGAGTCAGTTTTACAGAAATAGTTTCAGCAAAAACGCTCTTCTTTGTTGAAATTTTTAGTAGGGTACAGTTGCTTTACGACTTTATGTGAGTTTCTGCAGTACAGCAAAGTGAATTAGCTCTGCTTATCCATACAGCCCCTCTCCTTTGGAGAGCCTTCCATCGAGGTCACCACAGAACACTGAGTGGGGTTCCCAGTAGTAAAGCCTATTGTAATTTTTAATAGGTAGCTGTCATGTACTGCTTTGGCAATTTTAAAATTACTTTATCTCAAAGTAAAGGCGCTTCCTAGGCAGAGAATATGTGAGCCCACGCTGATCTACTTCTTAAAAAAATGAGATATAATTCATCTATGTCAAGGAGAAATACATTTTCCTCTACCCTGCTGGATTCTCTGGCTGGTCTAAGAATTACAGTAAATTTGACATGAAATAGATTAACAGGAGAAAACCAAAAGTTTAATAACATGGGAGAGAATCGGGAATACTGAATAGCTCACTAAAATGGTCAAAGCCCTGACCTTAAAAACCACTTTCAGCTAAAGACAAAGCAGGATGTTGAGGGTAATGGTTTGGGACTTCAAAGGAAGGCAATTCAAGTAAGTTGGAAAAGCAAATGTTTGGTAAACAACTGTTTGTTGGGCCAGGGTGAGACAATGAGACAGAGTGGACTCTAAATGTCTGGGTCTTGCTGAGTTTCCTCCACCACACCTAGCCTAAATCCTTTGCAGATATCTCTGGTGATACCTCTATTCTGGCAATAGACGCTTTATCTAAATTCTTTAGGCAGTTAAGGGGCAGATGAAAAGAAAGACTTTAGGACTTAAAAGAAAGACTTTTAAGACTGTTTCTTAAAAATAAATCTCCCTAAATTAATACTCATGCCAAAGAGACACATTTTGGGGTGGCACATTTGGGGTGGCTTCCTTACATACAACATACATAAAATTTGCCCTTTTAATATTAATATGAAAAATTCAGGGGTTTTTTGCATTTGCAAGTTGTACAACTACTAATTCTAGAACATTTGCATCACCCCAAGGAGAAACCCAATGCCTCCCAATTCCTCCCTCCCTTGCAACTACTAATTTACTTCCTGTCTCTATGAATTTAATTATTCTGGATACTTCACATAAAAGTATTATATGTGGCCTTTTGTGACTGGCTTCTTTCACTTAGCATGATGTTTTCAAGGCTGGTTTATGCTATATCATATGTCAGTACTTCATTCCTTTTTATGGCTGAAAAATATTCCACTGTACAGATATGCCACATTTTATTTATCCATTTATCAGTTGAGGGACATCTGGGTTTTCAGTATTGGGCTGATATGAATGAAGCTGTTATAAACATTTGTATACATGTCAATTCTCTTAATGTGCATACTTAGGAATTGCTGGAACATATGATAATTATATATCAACTTTTTGAGAAACTGTTTTTCACAGTGCTGTACCACTTTTCATTCCCACCAGACCAATCTTTATTATTATGTGTTTTTAACATGGCCATACTAGTGATTGAGAAATGGCATCTTATTGTGGGTTTGCTTTGAATTTCCCTAAAAAATAATGACGCTGAATATCTTTTTGTTTGCTTATCAGACATTTGTATATCTTCTTTGAAAAAATGTCCATTCAAATCCTTTGTTCGTATCTAAATTGGGCTGTCTTTTTATTTATGTATATTTATATATGAGTTCTGTATATATTCTGAAAACTAAACCTTTATCAGATATATGATTTGCAAGTATTTTCTCCCATTCTGTGAACTGTCTTTTCATTCCTTGATAGTTTCCTTTAAAACTAGATATACTTTTTAAAGATGACAAAATTCAGGTACAGGATTGGAAACTGACTTTGTCAAGATCTGCATAGTTTAAATTAAAATGAACAAACTCTCAATTGAATCATATAATTTCTTTTTTTTTTTTTTCTTTTTTTTGGCATGTACTATCTTAGTTCCCTGACCAGGGATCAAACCTGTGCCACCTACAGTAGAAGCACGGAGTTTTAACCACTGGACTACCAGAGAAGTCCCCACATAATTTATTTTAAATTAATTATAAGATGATCAAAAGAAAGTTCAAAAAGGTGTGAATGACTGATGGTTTTATTTCCAAAAGTAACTAGATACTGTATGAAGTTATTTCAGATGACAGATTTAGTTGTTTTCCTTACAAGTAAAAGCTGCAATTACCACATTAAAACTTTAATGCAGGCTATCTACATATGGAGCTTTAGCCTCAGGCCTGGAGCAGCTGTGAAATGAAAGCTACCGCACCATTCTAGTCCTTGGATATCAGTATATTGTCCTTCGCCTTCCACCCTGCAACAGTAAAAAAATAAGTGTGTTCATTAACAAAACTAGAAATTTACAGTCCAGGTATAAGACTGTCTAGTATATTATATACTATGTCTGAAGAATTATATCATTCTGCTTTCAAACTTTGATTTAAAACCTGGCATCCTGTTTTTATGTCCTACAAAAAAAAAATACTACTATTCCAAACAAGCATTGTCATTATACAAATTTTTATGTATTTTTAGATTTTAGGATTACGTATGCTTAGTTTAGACAAAACCAAAACAGTCACAAAATGAAAAGTTTATATTGGTTATCTGACTTAATTAGTTCATTTATTCAACAAATGTTTATTGATCTTCAACTATGTGTGAGATACTATGCTCTATGCCAGTGTTTTCTGGACTCTTTGGAGTGGTGAAAATGCACTTCACAGAACCAAACAGACCTTTATCCCATGGGTTAGAGTTTTCTCCATTTATTAATATCAGTGTGAAAAGTTTTTATGTTGTCATCACAGACTTGGCAATAGAATAGGTGAACCCTTTTCTACCCGCCTCAATATGTATCAACCACTTCATAACAATTAGGTTGCATTTTTAATTCTGGAAATAATAAGGGAGTAGTTATAAATGAACATGAAACCTCTGGATGACATAGTATTTGGTGTGAGGATTAAGTTTATAAAGATGTGTTAGGGTGGGGGTGAAGATTTGGATGAAGGTGGTCAAATGGTACAAACTTCCAGATACAAGATAAATGGTCAAATGGTACAAACTTCCAGATACAAGATAAATAAAGTATTAGGAATGTAATGTATAAGATGATAAATATAATTAACACTTTTGTATGTTATATATAAAAGTTAAGAGAGTAAATCCTTAGTTCTCATCACAAGAAAAAAATATCAATGTGATATGATGAATGTCCACTAAGTTTATTGTGGTAATCACTTCATGATATATGTAAATCAAATCATTATGCTGTATACCTTGAATTTATACAGTGCTGTATGTGAATTACATCTCAAACTGGAAGAAAATACAAAATAAAATTTAAAACTATAAAAAAACCTTATCAAGATATTTCAAGCGAAAATAATTTTTGGCCTAAATTTTCTCAATAATTGCAACAAACTTTCCATTTCCAATATGACTGCAAAAAGTTCCATAGGAATAAAGGAGTCAGAGGAAATAAATGAAAAATCTAATAGATTATCACTAGGAATGATATGTTTTGGAGGCTCATGATGGCCTTAGCCTCTCTCATAACATTTTTCCCTAAAATGATAATCCAACAATTCTTCTTAAATATAGGTATATTTTAACTAAATACATTATAAAAGAAATTTAGCATTAACTAAACTTTTAGGCAAATATGCCTGAGAAATATCTTTAAGACTACAATGACTTTTTATTTTAAACTCACCTGTTTTCATTGAAATTTCCAGTGTACTTTGCCCCAGTTGGGAATGTATAAGTTCCCAGTCCATGAAACATATTGTCCTTAAAGTGTCCTTCATATACTGCTCCTGAAAAATGCTCAAGTTTTCCAAAACCATTCATCTGTTTGTAACAGAGGAAATGACCTCAGTAACTAATCTTCAGTTTCATTAGTATATTTCTAAAAGTATACACATATGTCTGTCATCCACTTAGTTATTATTTAATCTAACATTGTATCACCCTTTATGTCCACAAAAATAAGACAACATTTTTATCATTGTCCTTTGTATGTCTGTCTCTGTGAAGCTGACAAAGGCAGTGTTTCTGATCTGGGGCACCTGAGCGTCTTGGAGGTCCATGAGGATATTAACAGGGCTCCTCAAGACACCTTGAAAATATAAAAAATCTTAAAGGCCAACCAGTATAGTTAGCCCAGAAATGGCACAAAGAAGTTGTTAAGGACAGAAATTTGTATTCAAGCAGACCCAAGAACATATTTTTGTTTCATCACTTACTAGCTGGGCAAGAAATCTGAGCCGAATTTCCCTCAATTGTAAAACAGCAATATGAATGGTATCGAACTCATTAGGCTGCTATGAGGATTAAATGAGAAAATTATGTAATGAGTTTAGTTTGTTCAATGAATAGGAAATGAGAAAGATGATGACAATTAGTTCTCTGAATGAGTTTCATACTATTCCTTATATTCATATATATTAAATATAATCATTTGTTATTTTTATTACATGGTCTACTCATACATGTTTTTTGAAATGGCGAAATGCCAGGAATCATTTAATCAACCGACTTACTTATCCACTGTCAATATTCAAAACATAATAATACCTTGTCATCTTTCCAGCTTCCTGTGTAGACAATCCCATTTGGAGTGGTATGAATACCTATTCCATTTCTCTCAATGACTCCAGAAGATGTTCTTGTACAGTCCCCATCTAAGTGAGAGAGAAATACTGAAGATTATAAACGGGAACCCTGTTTGACTAAGTATTAAAATATGTTCAACCTTAATCAGAACTGCATCACAGTGGGTCTCTCTGCTTTCCTAGCACCAAGATGAGGTGCCCCATGGACCTTTAAATCATTGAGACTCAAGGGCCTGGAAGACTGACACATGGCTATGGCCCTCCCATAGGTTTCCAAGGCACACTGTCTATACTGAACTTTAGAGTTTAAGATTTAAAATGTTCCTCCATTAGTATCTTTTTTTCTCTCCATTAGTATTTCTGTGTGATTTTATTTAATGGAGTCAATATGTCAATTGTACTTTTATCAAGTGTGACAGTCTCAGTTTTGCACTCTTAAGCTATTTAATTTTAATCTATATAGAAAAAAGTAATTGAAATGTATGCTTACCATACTTGTCTCCATTTGGAAATATAAAATTTATCTTAAATACTTCAGGAGCTGTTTTAAAAGATTTAAGAAAAATCACATAAACAAATACTTTTTAAAGTTTTTTATTCTTTGATATGGACAATTGTTAAAGTCTTTATTGAATTTGTTACAAGATTGTTTCTGTTTTATGTTTTGGTTCTTTGGCTGAGAGGCATGTGGGATCTTAAGCTTCCCAACCAGGGATCAAACCCACATCCCCTGCATTGGAAGGTGAAGTCTTAATCAGTGGACCATAAGGGAAGTCTCAAGCTTAAACATTTTTATGTTATAAGACCTATAACATATTTGCTGGAAGAGCCAACCAAATAGACTCACTTTATATTCATGTTTACTTGGCATTTCCATAGTTGAGTGTAGGGTTCTGGGGAAATAAATAATTTTGTCTAGATGATATATTTTTATTTATTTTAACAGCTTTATTAATATATAATTCACATACCACAAAAATTACTCTTTAAAAGTATACAAAACTCATTTGTTTTTGCATACTCAAGTTGTATAACTGTCACCACAATCTAATTTTAGAATATTTTAATCACTCTCAAGAGAAATCCTGTACATATTATCAGTTGCTCTCTATTACCCTAAAACCTACCCAACTCCACCCCCAGACCCAATAATCTATAATCTGTCTCTATGTACTGGTATAATCCAGACAGTTCATAGAAATGGAATCATACAATATGTGGTCCTTTGTGAGTAGCTTCTTTTACTCAGCTTCAAGTTTCATCCATGTTGCAGCATATATTAGTATTTTTATCACTTTTTATTGCTGAATAGTCCATGGTATAAAAATAACACATTTTGTTTATTTATTCATTCATCAGTTGATGGTCAGTTGAGTGTTTCCAGTTTTGGCTAGAATGAATAATGCTACTATAAACATTCATGTATAATTTTCTGTATGGGCATATGTTTTTATTTCTCTTGGGTATACGATCTATGGATTATTTCACAGACGTAAGGTAGAGTGAGCAATCTCAGAATTGGCAGTAGGAAGAAATAGAAAAAAAAGATAGTAAGTGAGAAGAGGCGGGGGAAGGAGTAGGGTCCAAACAGAATGAGATTGGAATGAAGACAGGTAAAAAATGAAAAAAGAAAACCACAGGACTCGGGGGTAGTGGGTGGAGTGGAATCTATGCCTCAAGCTGTGGGACATTTAGTTGATTAAACATTAGAAACTAATTTTTTCCAATACTGAAGAAAACATATATTGGAGATGATAAGTAAACTATAACTTCTAGAACAACAGCCTATTAGAATGTTACTCAAAGTGTGGCCCATGCATTAGAATCACTTAGGATGCTTTACAAGTTGCTAGGCCCTACTATACAATGCTGAATCAGAATCTCTATGGGTGGGACAAGAGAACTGATCTTTTCAACTGGAATACTAACCTGAGTGCCAGTTAAGACTGGAAGCTCATCCCCTCTGAGGAAACAGAGTTAATAAACAAACTAGAAGACTTAAACATCATCCGAAAGGGAGAGGCCAGCAGCCTTGAGAAAGGAGTAGACACTTAGGAAAAATAATTAACAATTTAGGAAATGAAAAATTTACCTGTGAAAAGAAGGGAAGCAAAAAGCAAAGGAGAAAAGGAAAGATATACCCATTTGAATGCAGAGTTCCAAAGAACAGCAAGGAGAGATAAGAAAGCCTTCCTCAGTGATCAGTGCAAAGAAATACAGGAAAACAATAGAATGGGAAAGACTAGAGATCTCTTCAAGAAAATCAGAGATACCAAGGGAACATTGGTATCCCTTATGGCAGAAAGTGAAGAGGAACTAAAAAGCCTCTTAATGAAAGTGAAGGAGGAGAGTGAAAAAGTTGGCTTAATGCTCAACATTCAGAAAACTAAGATCATGGCATCAGGTCCCATCACTTCATGGCAAATAGATGGGGAAACAGTGGAAACAGTGTCAGACTTTATTTTTTTTGGCTCCAAAATCACTGCAGATGGTGACTGCAGCCATGAAATTAAAAGACGCTTACTCCTTGGAAGTAAAGTTATGACCAACCTCGATAGCATATTTAAAAGCAGACACATTACTTTGTCAGCAAAGGTCTGTCTAGTCAAGGCTATGGTTTTTCCAGTGGTCATGTATGGATGTGAGAGTTGGACAGTGAAGAAAGCTGAGTGCTGAAGAATTAATGCTTTTGAACTGTGGTGTTGGAGAAGACTCTTGAGAGTCCCCTGGACTGCAAGAAGATTCAACCAGTCCATCCTAAAGGAGATCAGTCCTGGGTGTTCACTGGAAGGACTGATGTTGAGGCTGAAACTCCAATACTTTGGCCACCTCATGAGAAGAGTGGACTCATTGGAAAAGATTCTAATGCTGGGAAGGCTTGGGGGCAGGAGGAGAAGGGGATGACAGAGGATGAGATGGCTGGATGGCATCACCGACTCAATAGACATGGGTTTGGGGAGACTCGGAGTTGGTGATGGACAGGGAGGCCTGGCGTGCTGCAATTCATGGGGTCGCAAAGAGTCGGACATGACTGAGCGACTGAACTGAAGGGAACATTTCATGCGAAGATGGGCACAATAAAGCACAGAAATGGTAAGGACCTAACAGAAGCAGAAGATATTAAGAAGAGGTGGCAAGAACTGTACAAAAAAGATCTTCATGACCCAGATAATCACGATGGTGTGATCACTCACCTAGAGCCAGACATTCTGGAATGCAAAGTCAAGTGGGCCTTAGGAAGCATCACTATGAACAAAGCTAGTGGAGGTGATGGAATTCCAGTTGAGCTATTTCAAATACTAAAAGACGATGCTGTGAAAGTGCTGTACTCAATATGCCAGCAAATTTGGGAAACTCAGCAGTGGCCACAGGACTGGAAAAGGTCAGTTTTCATTCCAATCCCAAAGAAAGGCAATGCCAAAGAATGTTCAAACTACTGCACAATTGCACTCATCTCACACACTAAGTAATGCTCAAAATTCTCCAAGCCAATCTTCAGCAATACGTGAACCATGAACTTCCAGATGTTCAAGCTGGTTTTAGAAAAGGCAGAGGAACCAGAGATCAAATTGCCAACATCCACTGGATCACTGGAAGAGCAAGAGAGTTCCAGAAAAACATCTATTTCTGCTTTACTGACTATGCCAAAAGCTTTGACTGTATGGATCACAATAAACTGTGGAAAATTCTTCTACAGATAGGAATACCAGACCTCCTGACCTGCCTCTTGAGAAATCTGTATGCAGGTCAGGAAGCAACAGTTAGAGTTGGACATGGAACAACAGACTGGTTTCAAATAGGAAAAGGAATATGTAAAGGCTGTATATTGTCACCCTGCTTATTTAACTTATATGCAGAGTACATCATGAGAAACGCTGGGCTGGATGAAGCACAGGCTGGAATGAAGATTTCCGGGAGAAATATCAATAACCTCAGATATATAGATGACACCACCCTTATGGCAGAAATTGAAGTACTAAAGAGCCTCTTGATGAAAGTGAAAGAGGAGAGTGAAAAAGTTGGCTTAAAGCTCAACATTCAGAAAACTAAGATCATGGCATCAGGTCCCATCACTTCATGGCAAATAGACAGGGAAACAGTGGAAACAGTGGCTGACTTTATTTTTTGGGGCTCCAAAATCACTGCAGATGGTGACTGCAGCCATGGTATTAAAAGATGCTTACTCTTTGGGAGGAAAGTTATGACTAACCTAGACAGCATATTGAAAAGCAGAGA